GCTGCCAGGGCTTGGGTCCTCCTCCTCCTCCTTCTCCTCCTCGCTGCTCAGAGTTCCTTTTCCTTTTTATAACTCCGCGAGTTTTGTTCTTTGTGGCTTGGCCAAAGGAGTTGGGTGCGGCCCGCTTCTTTTCGCACATATTTAAAATGCAAAAAGGAAAAATGGCAGCGGGATTAAGCCATTCACACCCGGGCGGGATCTAATCCGGGCTCATCAATAATTGATTGAGAGCCTGAATGTCCATTATGGCTTTTAGGAAGTGGAGGAGTGCATGCTCCGCATCAATTAGAGGCGATCTCCTGCCCTCGCTAATTCGATGGACTCCTCCATCACTCATGCACTTATGCTGCAACTCTTTCTGCTCTCTTCTGTGTCCTTTTAGCTGACTGACAATGTAACTACACTAGGAGAAAACTTATGGTAGTTATCATCTACTTAATGCCCATCAGAAGGATTCTATTTGCTAGTTCTTAGTTCAGTTCTCTTTCAAAATCCATCTATATATCTTTTTCATAGAACATTTCTGCCTGTGTAACAGCTTCATTCCACTCGCTAATCCCGACCGCACCTTCTTCTCTGCCGCACTCCATCAAGAGCGTATCTGTGCCGCAGTGCCGCTCCCTCGCAGCAACTTTGTTATATTTTATACGGTAATTTATAATAAGTTTTTTCCACGCACCTTTCCCGGTGCCATCTCAGCCCCAGCTCCCCTCCCTCAAGCGAGAAAACCCAGAAAATCGAAAGAGCAGGAGGAGTAAGACACTCAGCAGGCCACAACTTCCCAGATGTATTTGAGTTTCAGCGCGGCCCGGGTCTGACTTACAACTAATGCAATATAATAAATTTATACAGGGTTACAAATAAATGTGGGCAGAGACTCTGTGTGAGCTGGAAAATAAATAAATAAATATTTTTAGAAGGATACATGAGATTGAAAAGGCGGCCTCCTTCGCGCTCCTATTTCTCGTTTCCTGCTCTGCTGCCTTCGCCTCACGATGATGATGCCTCAGAGGGGGGCATTTGGGGTTATTTATCAGCATAAATTATTTATGCCGCATTACGGACATAAAAATAAATAAAATAAATGGAGTCGGCCAACTAAATCCGATTAGAAGAGGCCCAAGATGCGAGATACAAGCAGAGTCCATAGATACAAATTTATTTTTATAGATTAATCAGCGAATTACTTGTGCAGCTGTTGCCCCATTCCCATTGCCCCATTCCCATTGCCCATTTTCATTTCCACATCGTATACGATTTATTTGGCTTAGCCATAAAAATGAGAATTTTCCGCCAAGTATTTGAAAATATAAACATTAAAACGGGCCATTATGGCCTTTCCTATTTAATTAAATGTTTATGCCGAGCATTTAAACTAAATCGACCAGGGCCACATCCAAATCTAAATTCAAATCCATGTCTGCTTTGGATCTTTGTGTGGAAGATGCTGTAAAAACTACTTGGGGAGTACTTGAATGGCCGCCGTTGTGTATCCTCCATGCGGGGATCGGCTCTCAGATCGGCGCGCATATATAAAATATGACTGAATAATATAAAACAGAAGGCGATACATCAAAGCGGATTATACAATTTATTTCTGCCTTTATTCTCGGCTGGGGATGCGCTCTTTTGTGTTCTTTGGCCGCGGCTGCTCGCCTGCTCACAAATATATTTCTTCATTTTTATTTTATTTATTTACTTTCCCCGAAGATGTTGTATACAAAAGAAAATACAAATCTCCGAGGCTAGATGCAACAGATGCAGCTGGAGGAGGTGGGGGGCCAAAGGCAGGAGGCAGCCTGCTGGGCCACGTAATAAATTGTATTATTTATATTATTTTATATAATCCAACCCCCCTAATGCTAGCTGCGGGAATCTCAAATCTGAATCTGAATCTGAATCTTATTCTGTTTCTGTTTCTGAATCTGAATCTGAGCAGCACAAAAGTATCTGTGAGGTCTTCTTGGTCGGAGAGTGACGAGTGTAATGACTTTTGTCGATTGGGTTAAGTGGCTTGTTGGCTTCCTTCACACACAGTCAGCCAGCCACTCGCCTCGTGTTGCAAGATGCGAGCTTCCCTTTCGAGCTGCATCTTCTTCAATCTCCATGCCAGCCACTCGCTCCCTTTTTCCTTTTCCTTCTTCCTGATTCCTCACCTTTTTCCCGGGGTTTTTGTTCAAGTAGTTTGAATGTGGCACGTTTAGCCTTTCCCCTCTCCCTACCCTGCGGTAATTTGTCTGCAGCGTCTCTTTTTTTGTGTGTGGCTGCAGTTTTTGCCTGCTGCAAAAAGGTAAGCGACACACGCTAATCATGAGTGTGAGATTCTCGCAGATTCTCTCCCTCTTCTCCATGCGGTTTGGCCCTCATCTGCGGACTAATTGAGTGGGAAAGTGGCGAGGAAATCGAAAGGGAAAGGCTGCGGGACATCGAATTGATCGCAATCAGTAACTCGATTGTTTTTCATTCTTTTCGAAATATGTTCTTTAACTTTCCTTCTAATAAGTTGGGCACTTCGTCGGGCAAATGAATGTACTTCCCCTTGGCTGGGCTTGAATCTTCTTATTGCGCCTAATAAAAACTTCCTCTGCGCCCACGCTCCGCAAAAAGTTCAGTGAACCGATCGCGAGGCCGGAGAGGAAACCAATAATAATATACAACCTCTAATGATGCACACTCGCACACACACACACACACACACGCACACACAATCTAAATGCGATGTGGCAATAAAATATGAAAAACCGAAGAACAAAAACGCGTAAAGGAGAAAAAATGAGTTCCAACAAAAACGAAGGCAGACAAATAAAAGTGCAATTAATCACCAGAATCCGAGGGCCCAGACTCCAGAACTGAGAGCTGAGAGCTGAGACCCCTGGACCACGACGACTGACACTTATCGGCTTTATCAGCTTGCGGGGAGGGGCGAGGGGGCATAAATCGGAGGTGCATTCACACAAACATATAAGCATATAAATATAAATGGAAAGGAATTATAAATATTAAAGAAGTCGAGTCGAGGATGCGGCTGTCAATATTTGATTTTTACACAGAAAGAAAAGATATAGCTTCTTGATCCTCAAAGTTAACAAAAAGAATCTTTGTAGGGAGAGTTCCCCTTAATGGCTTTTATAATCCCTCGAATTTCGAACTCCTTTTCTCTCTCTGCCCGCTGGTGGCAGCTCATTGGCTTGATGCGATCGCCGCGAAGCAACCAAAAATGCATCAATTTTTAATAATAAATGAAATGTGTGAATAAACGTTGGGAGAATGTGAGGGGTGGAGGGGCGAAATGAGAAGAACAATCGGAAAGGCAAACAGCAGGAAAGCATAAACACCAACACCGAGGCAAACAAACAAAGATGCAGATACAGATGCCGATGCCGATGCCGTTGCCGTTGCCGATGCAGATGCATTTTCCAAAGAATTTCTAAGCACATAAAAAGCAAAGCAAACGGTCAGTTGGGAAAATATTTAAAAAAGCATAAAAACAAAATATTTATTGAAAAGAGACGCTAACGAGCAGCGCCGCGGCGATGGGGCAAACAAACGGCTTCAAAAATCGAACACACGAGCAGGCTAATGCATATGAGGCCGGCTATTTGATTAATGCACTCGAAAGCGACAATAAACACGGAACATGGAACAAGCAGCTTGGCGGCCATGGCCACGTCCAGGAGTCACTGTGGGATCTCTCCTCAGCGTCATCCAGACAAGCAAACATCGCATTCCGATTGATCTCGCCTGGACTTGGGCTCTGAATGGAACTCCGGCGACGGAGACCGCGGCTCTTGAGCGAACGTCAACGACGTCTATTGGATAAATAAATACAAATTTTTATTAAAGTGCGAATTCTGCGGTGAGCTCAGTGCTAATGCAGTCCGCCTCGAACCGGTCCCTAGGTCTGAGTCCAGGAGCTAAACTGACAAAAATATTGTTAAATTCTATCTTAAATTATTAACTTAGCTAAGTTATATACGCAGAGTCTTTTTTGAGGGGGAAACCTTCCTAAATTATGATCAACTATTTATAGTTTAAATTATATAAAGAAGGGATTAAGTCGATAAACTTATAAATCACACTAAAGAAGATGAATTTTAAAATTTAATATTAAAAATCAAAGTAATGAACCATCTTCTTTACCCTCTTAAGATGAGAGATAAACTTAAAGATGAAATATAATAAAAATCAAGAACAGAACCCATTAGTAAAGATACAGTATCTGACCCCCTTATTTTCCCCGTGCAGCGATCTTTCGCCGCTGCCCTAATTGAAGCACACTTAGGGAACCACAACAAGTCACAAAATGCTCCGCAGATCGAAATCAACCGCAGGCCGCAGGAATTTCAATCACCTCTTGGTCACCATGGCGTTCCAGTGGCTGCTCCGCTAGAACTCGCGGGAACCAGGGGGGACTGATCTGACCTAGGAGAGGGAAATATGTGGAGCAAATCTCCGCGGGTGGAAGAGCGGGAGAAGAGAGCGTCGCCCTAACAATTGACGACGTGGAGCACGTGAATGCTGTCAATCATTCCAGGGAATGGTCTTGAAAGGGGGCGGGGCGGGAAGGGGTCGGAATCGGTGGGACTGGAGCTCCACATTCCGCTCTGTGACGTCACGACACGAGGCGAAATGCCGCCGGCAGAATTCGCTGCCGAAGACTGAAGATTGCGCGAATCGTGAATCAAAACAAACCGAGGGAAAAGATCGGAGAGTGAACGAGAGAGAGAGATAGTCTATGAGTGGGAGAGAAGCAGCGCTGCAGCTGAGCCGCAACAGCGCTGCAGCAGCAAAAGAGAGATCTTCTCCGCTCTCCATGGAATTGCCATGGAAGAGACTCTGACAAGAAACACTTCTCTTTAAATCTTAGCAATAATTTACGAGGCAATAAATCGAATTGTTGTTTATCTTGAGGAATATATAGTCGTATTCCGAATCTAAATCTTGATCGAAATAACATTCGGATTGCACTTGGGAGTAATAAGATGATAACTTTCACTCACCCTTTCTTCCTCTCGGATCATCTCGGCGATGCCGGGCTTGATCTCCATGTCATCTGCCAGCGACGATCCTCCGCCTGAGCCCACTCCTCCTCCTGCTCCGCCACCTACGCCGCCACCGCCCACTCCTCCGCCATGATGGTGAGGTGGTGGTGGCGGTAGGCGTGGCTCAGCGGGCGGACCAGGACCCAAACCACTTAGTTCCATGGCAGCGGCCATGGCGGCAGCGGGTCCCAAGGGAAAGCGGGAATCTCCAGCGGGTGACGGCGGATGGTGGGCGGATCCAGAGGCCTGGGAAGGATGTGGGGCAGGTGGTGCATGGTGGTGCGGATGCAGGGGCAACGGCAGGGGGAGCTGAGCCTGCTGCTGCTGAGGACTCTGCGAGTGAGGCCGCGAGGATCGGGAGAGAGGTCCTGGCGTGGCAGCAGGCGAGGGCATGTCCATGGCGTGGATGGCGGTTTCCAAACGCCTCGCAGCTGCCACTCCCGAGCCACTGCTCAGTGGTGGTTTGGGTGGTGGAGTCATGAGCGAGCAATCCCGCTGTCTCTCCCTCTCCTTCTGCTCCAGCTCCATCCGTTCGGCGGCTATCAAACTGCTCAGCGGACTGGGAGGTGCGGGAGGATTGAAGATCGTATCCGCCGAGGGCCATCTCCGCTTCCTCACATTTCTGCCCTGCTGGCGCTCCAGAGGGGAGAGTCTCAGTTCAGCGGGATCCCAATCGGTGCGCAGCTTCTTCTCGGGCTGCATGAAAGCCAGGAGTTCCTCGGTCTCCCTCTCATTCTCAGTTCTGGAAGTGGAAGCACCCTCTTTGGGGGAGGGCATTCTTTCTGAGGAAGCCGCCGCCGCTGCTGCCGTGGCCGCTTCCATGTGGGTCACATCCGCCAGGCCGCGCACTTTCAACATCTCGGCTATCCGGAGCAAGGGACCTATCTGATCCTGGCTCACGTTGATCTCGCCACGGTACATGAACTCCACGATGGCCTTGAGGTCCGACCAGTTCACATCCCTCATGATCACTATGGGATGCTGGCAGGGCGTCTCCGCCAGGAGGGTTTGGAAATAGGGCGAGCAGGCGGACAAGACCATCTTGTGGGCCTTCATGGAGCGACCGTCGCAGGCCAAGGTCACGTCCACGAAGCACTCGTTCTGGAGCAGCTGATCGAAGATGGTGGTTAGGTTGGTCTGGTAGTTATTCCAGCGCAGGCAGAACTGCTGGGAAGTCGAGCTGGGCGATGCCACCGAAGAGCTTCTGCCCTGCGGTGAGCTCACCGGCGATGATCCTCCTCCGCCTCCTGCCCCTTGGGCATCCTTATCCTCGTCCTTACCCGCGCCAGTGGGCGAAGTGCGATCCTCGCTTTTCGTGCGCTTCTCCTCCTGCTGAGTGGGTGAACTCCTATTGCTCTTCGGAGAGCCAGCGCCCGATCCCGAGCCTTTGCGCTGCCTCTGAATCACTGGTCCCTGCTCGGGCGCCATGCCAGCCTTGGCTTCCGCCTGCGCCGACGCCATTTTGTCTACAGCTGATCTACGTTGATCCGGCGATCGTAAGACGTTAAACGTTAGGCGTTACGCGACTCGCTCTTCACATAGCGGAAGAAAGTATTCAAAAAAACCGCGACATTTACGACGCTCAACTGAGAGTGGGCATGTACATGTGAGTGTCGGTGTTAGTGTTGGTCTCTTGGTTTGTGTGTGTGTGTGTGTGAGTGCGTATGTGTAGGTGTTTTACGTATTCGTTACGTTACGCGCACTACGTGGCCATTTGGCAATTAGCCCGCCTCGTTCTTTCAGTTCGTTTCGGTTCTCGTCGTCGTGTTCAGTGTGTTTTCAGTTCCGTTTCTGTGTTCTATGGTTATTGGCCAACAAACAGGGCCAAAAGTCTTCTCAGCACGAGCGTCTGAATTAGACTGAAATCGTTTTGCACATTTTGATACGGAAAAACTCAAAACAAACTTAACACACGACGACGACGATGGGCCACGACGATGTGGATGTGGATGTGGATGTGGCTGTGACTGTGGATATGGAAAACTGAGGGCCGCCGAGGGGCAACGTTGATGTTGCAGCAACTGCTACTGCTACTGCTGCTGCTGCTGCTGCTGCTGCTGGTGCTGGTGCTGGTGCTGCCTTTGTAGTAGTTGTTGCTCTCAGGCTGCGACTGAGTTCGCGACGAAGTTGCGAATAGTTCGCGAACTGCTCTGCCGGCGTTGCGAAAGGAAAATGCGACGGAGGCAGCGCGGCTGAGAACCGAGGCAGAGACTACGGCCGAACCGAAGCAGCAGAGTCGGTTGAAAATGGCTGAAAACGGCGAGCTGTAGGCGCCAAAAAACGCCGGCTAACGGTACCACATTCCTTTGCTCCTGCGCTGCGTTTTGGCTCTCCTCGAACTCAAAATCGAAATCGGCTTTTGGCTCGTCCTTCGTCCTTCGTCCTCGTCGTCGTCGTCCTCGCACTCGAACTCGTCCTCGTTCTCGGCCTCTCGCCGTTGCAACCCCCAAAAATTTTTGGCGCTTTGGCGCTGCACTACTACCATTGCGTAAAAAGGATGCGTCGCTGCATGTGGCAAGTGGCAAGTGTGCGTGCGTGAGGAAACGGAAGTTGCCCCGAAAATGCAGCGAAGAGCGAGCTTAGGCCTAATATTTTTCGGAGGCGCTGGGCAGGAGAGGGTGGAGTAGTGCTCCCCCAACCAGTACCCCTTGTGGCACTGTTGGGGGGTCTTCAGAAAGTGGCAAGGTGGATATTGGCAAGAAGTTTTTCGGCTATCTCGATGGGTATATAACTTTTGATTTAACAGGTTTCTTATGGGTGAATTTCTAGGGAATTTAGTGGAAAGTATTAAGAGATTAGAAAGGTTTTTGATAAAACTGACATTTATTTTGGGAAGAATCTAACTCTAATATCTAGAAGTAATCTTAAGAGTCTAAGATCACTGATCATGGAAGTCTTCCGCAGTACAACCCCCTTCCTTTCTGTTCTTGCGAGCCCAAATTCTCCTTCTCCCTCACGCACTTCTCACAAAACTCGGCTGAAACTGAAAGATGCTTCATTAATTAGTTCCGTTCGAGGGGAACTACCACCCCGCCCCTTCCCTACTCTACCCGCTAAGCCCTCTCGCCGTAAGTCCCCTTGAAAAACTCTCTTCGCAGTCGACGCCTCAGCCGACGTCGCTGCCGCTCGTGCATTGTAAACAAATGCTTAGGCGAATAACAAGAAGTGCGGCGAATTGGGAGAGTCGTGCTCTCTCTTTCGCGAGAGGGACGGCGATAAGCGGACTCTTTGCCGTCTAAGAGACGTTTCTCTTTCTTTCGGCTGCACCTGCAGTTTTCCACTATTTTTCCTCATTTTTCTCGCTCTCACTGCCTGGGCGAAGGGGTGCAGCGAAGGGGTCTTGGTGTGGCAAGTGGGTAATGGGGCGTTAGGCGGGGGGCGGGGCACTAACGTACGAGACTGGTCAGCCTCGATTTCGTGTGTGGCTGTGGCTGTGTGGGTAGTTCCCTGTGTGTGTTTATGATTATTTGCGCATTTATAAAATGCTAAACATAAAATAAAAAAAAATACAAATCCAGCGAAAATAAATAAATTCGCGCGAGTGCGAGCGAGACGGAGCTACTGCCGCCGCCAAGGTGAGCGAGCGAGAGGCGGCGAGAGGGGCCTACCACAGCCAGTCATAAATTATGCATAATTTTTTCGTGACTGGCAAATGGCGGCTGCTCTCAGTTCGGTTACATTATACATTATAATAAACATCGGCCATGAATGGTCGCGTAAGGGGAGGGGGAGGGGGGATATATACGCGATCAGCAGGTATTTTCCATCGATCGGGTGTTCAGTTTATACTTCTCAGTGATCAGTATTCATCTGGCAGCCTGGTGAATGTGACTTTTAATGCCCTTTATTCAGCAATATCCGGCGTCTTAATGACACTAAGTGATACTTCTGCTCATTAATGGCCCAAAGCCCTCGAAGTAGTTTCGTGAAATTGTGTCTTTGTACTGGCTTATCTCTATTACCTTGATGAGTGTGTCGTATTACGGTTCATTAGGTATATATTTTGTGATTTCTTTGAATAAATTATCTTAAATATATCTTTATAGTAAGTTTGTATCATTATTTTAACAAAATTTAACCTAATATTTATCAGAATTTACTATTATTACCACTTTCTGTTAGTTCAAGGCTTGTATTGAGTAAACTTAGATGATACTTCTTTTCTTAACTCCTTAAACAGTGATGATATTCACATACTATCTGATATAGTATCTCCGATATTTGTGCTTATTTTCCCCATCAAACTATCTCTAATTAGATCCCAGTGTGCTCGGTTCATGGCAACAAATGAATTGCGGCAAACAAAATTTGGATCAAACGCAGAAACACGAAATGCATCACGCATTCTCTAAGTTGTTTGTTGTTGGTTGCCATCTAGCGAAGAGGAGAGGGGGTAGGCAGGCGCTGGGAAATGGAAAATGGGAAATGGCTGCTAGGCTCGCGACTGCAGAACGCGTTTATACGAAAATTTATGTATTTAACTGGTGACGACGACGCTGACGAGCAAAACGATGACGCGGACGTGAAAGGACATTGGAGATGTGGACGCAGGATGCGGGATGCGGGAGGCAGGTCCAGGTTCAGAGGATAGAATCCACTGGATGCGGATGTCCAAAAAAGCGACGAAAGCCTCTGCGAAAGGCCAGAAGTGGGTGGGCTCGGTGTGTGTTGGTGTTTGAGTGTGTGCGCGGGGAAAGATGACAACATTTGAGCCAAACAGACAAAGTTGCGGAAGGGGTGAGAGGTCACCATCAACGTCGACGTCGTCGTCTCTGCCGCCGTCTGACCCACACACATGAGTGAGCGAACAAGCAAACAAACAAATAAAACGGTTGCCATGAGTGTGAATGCACTGCCAGAAAAGTTATTGAGAAGTCTTATTAAGTCTTTTCATATTAAAGAAGATATCTTGACTAAAAATTATGAGGATTTTATTGCGAGCTTTTCTTCTTTATTGGAAAGATATTAACTCTCACTTATTCTACGATTTTTACAATCAGATTATGATTAAAATAAATCAAGGCTCTAGTCAGTTTCAAGATAATTTCTCTCAGTATCCAATGCTGTGACCATGGAGGTGACCAAACGTACACATGAGTAGAAAATGGATACCAGGGGATGGGGGCTAGCCGGCGGGGAGATCAGCGGGAAAAAATGTTGCATATTAAAACGCCAAATAGAAGAGTGCAACGCAACGGCAGCGGCAACAGGAACAGAAACAGCGACAACGGCGACGCTGCAGCTTAGAGAATGCAGAAAATGGGTGGCACAAGGGTTAGCCCTTTGCTGATTCTTCGTCCTCAGCTGCTGCTCCAGCTCCTGCTCCTGCTCCTGCTGTTGTTTTTACCTTCGACCATGTCTAAAAGTTGGCTTACACACAAAAGCGATGAGCGATGATGCCTCAAATATGCAAAAATGCCTAGCGCAATAAAACCCCCTTGAGGGCGTATGGGCAATGAAAAAGGGCTTACACGATGGGGTGGGGCAGGGAGGTGGATTGGGATTGGGATTGGAGTCGGTGGATTGGTGGCTAGAGTGGACGTGGAAGTCCGAGCTGCTGACCATCGGGGTTGCAACGAAATTTGGAACTTGGAAATGCAGGCGAACTCCGAGAGTCGCGTTTCGTTGCGTGGCGTTGCTAACGATGCCGCTGGCTGTCTGATTGGGAAACGAATCGTGGTGGGGGCAGCTCTGGTGCCCCGGGATGGGGTATTCTGGGGTTAATGGGTGGGGCTGTGGGCGAGGATTGAGCAGTCGGGGATCAGGTAGAGGGGTGCATGCCACAGACACAAACAGATAGACAGCCGGCCGAGAATGAGAACGAGAACGAGATGGAGGACGCGCACGAGGATGTGGAAACGCATGAGGATGAGGAGGAGTACCAGGATGAGGATGAGTCCTACGCTTGAGTTAGAAACAGATGCACCAGGAGAAATGTTTTAATTAAGGGATCTAATAGGAACTGCTTACTATAACCCTGCAAAAGACTAAGGGAAAGCTAAAGCTATGAAAGAAATATCAGTTCTTGAAGTTTCATTATGAAGTTTTTGGCTTAAAAATGAATTTACCACAATCTAACTCACCTTTTCTTAACTTAATAAACATTATCTTTATCTCTTTTGAAGAATCTAGAATCTATCTCTTTAGAGTGCCGCATTTTCTCTCTGTGCACTCCCCCATTGGGCCCGCATTGATGGACAGTTAACGCGGCAAAACGAACGCGAAAACATGGCCAGAAAGGGGCGTGTGGGTGGTTCCCCCTCTCAGCGGTTGCTGCTCCTGCTGAAGCCAGCAGGCTTAGACGGCGCAACTGTACCGAGGACTGTTTGCAGGATGAATAGGAAGAGGTCCTGGGGTCCTGGGATCCCGGCTGCCGGTTCCTGGGCTTTCCAGTTTCCCGGGCGCCCCACTGGCAAGATTTTCGCGTGCGTTGCAAGTTGTCCAGTGTCCTCGGTTCCTGC